AACTGAACTAGAACTGAACTAGAACAGAACTAGAACAGAACTAGAACTGAACTAGAACTGAACTAGAACTGAACTAGAACTGATCTAGAACTGAACTAGAACAGAACTAGAACAGAACTAGAACAGAACTAGAACAGAACTAGAACAGAACTAGAACAGAACTAGAACAGAACTAGAACAGAACTAGAACAGAACTAGAACAGAACTAGAACAGAACTAGAACAGAACTAGAACAGAACTAGAACAGAACTACATCAGAACTAGAACAGAACTAGAACAGAACTAGAACAGAACTAGAACAGAACTAGAACAGAACTAGAACAGAACTAGAACAGAACTAGAACAGAACTAGAACAGAACTAGAACAGAACTAGAACAGAACTAGAACAGAACTAAACAGAAACTAAACAGAACTAGAACAGAACTAGAACAGAACTAGAACAGAACTAGAACAGAACTAGAACAGAACTAGAACAGAACTAGAACAGAACTAGAACAGAACTAGAACAGAACTAGAACAGAACTAGAACAGAACTAGAACAGAACTAGAACAGAACTAGAACAGAACTAGAACAGAACTAGAACAGAACTAGAAAGAACTAGAACAGAACTAGAACAGAACTAGAACAGAACTAGAACAGAACTAGAACAGAACTAGAACAGAACTAGAACAGAACTAGAACAGAACTAGAACAGAACTAGAACAGAACTAGAACAGAACTAGAACAGAACTAGAACAGAACTAGAACAGAACTAGAACAGAACTAGAACAGAACTAGAACAGAACTAGAACAGAATTAGAACAGAACTAGAACAGAACTAGAACAGAACTAGAACAGAACTAGAACAGAACTACAACAGAACTACAACAGAACTACAACAGAACTAGAACAGAACTAGAACAGAACTACAACAGAACTAGAACAGAACTAGAACAGAACTAGAACTAGAACAGAACAGAACAGAACAGAACAGAACAGAACTAGAACAGAACAGAACAGAACTAGAACAGAACTAGAACAGAACTAGAACAGAACTAGAACAGAACTAGAACAGAACTAGAACAGAACTAGAACAGAACTAGAACAGAACTAGAACAGAACTAGAACAGAACTAGAACAGAACTAGAACAGAACTAGAACAGAACTAGAACAGAACTAGAACAGAACTAGAACAGAAACTAGAACAGAACTAGAACAGAACTAGAACAGAACTAGAACAGACTAGAACAGAACTAGAACAGAACTAGAACAGAACTAGAACAGAACTAGAACAGAACTAGAACAGAACTAGAACAGAACTAGAACAGAACTAGAACAGAACTAGAACAGAACTAGAACAGAACTAGAACAGAACTAGAACAGAACTAGAACAGAACTAGAACAGAACTAGAACAGAACTAGAAAGAACTAGAACAGAACTAGAACAGAACTAGAACAGAACTAGAACAGAACTAGAACAGAACTAGAACAGAACTAGAACAGAACTAGAACAGAACTAGAACAGAACTAGAACAGAACTAGAACAGAACTAGAACAGAACTAGAACAGAACTAGAACAGAACTAGAACAGAACTAGAACAGAACTAGAACAGAACTAGAACAGAACTAGAACAGAACTAGAACAGAACAGAACTAGAACAGAACTAGAACAGAACTAGAACAGAACTAGAACAGAACTAGAACAGAACTAGAACAGAACTAGAACAGAGCTAGAAAGAACTAGAACTAGAACAGAACTAGAATAGAACTAGAACAGAACTAGAACAGAACTAGAACAGAACTAGAACAGAACTAGAACAGAACTAGAACAGAACTAGAACTAGAACAGAACAGAACTAGAACAGAACTAGAACAGAACTAGAACAGAACTAGAACAGAACTAGAACAGAACTAGAACAGAACTAGAACAGAACTAGAACAGAACTAGAACAGAACTAGAACAGAACTAGAACAGAACTAGAACAGAACTAGAACAGAACTAGAACAGAACTAGAACAGAACTAGAACAGAACTAGAACAGAACTACAACTGAACTAGAACTATTTAGTAAACATTTCATTTCACTCTATTTCACTTTTCTGACACATTTTTAAACAGAACTATTTAACTATTCTCCTTGACCCTTCATTAAAACTATTGCAGAATTTATAAAACAAAAAAATTCCCTGTAACTTAAGCTTAACTAACAAAAAATAAAACTTCAACTTCAGCATACTTTATTTGTTTACATTTTAAGCAACAATTTGCTTTCAAAAATACTCTAGAACTAGATAAAAACTGGCAAGGTTGTGAACTTAAACTAAAAAATTAATAAAAAGCAGAAAAAAAACTAAACATACTCAACAACAAATTCTCTGAAAATCAGAAAAACATTGTTAAGAATTTTTTTTTTCTCAAAAAAAAACACAACATATATGTAAATGGCGAAAAACAACTAAATGGATATATTGTACATACATACAGATTTCCGTTACCATATAGAGCAAATTCTAAGAAAAAAAGTTCTACACAGGGGAAAACTGCCAGTTGTAGAGGAGGAAAAAAGAACTGACTAAACAAAATGTTGGCATAATAAAATAAAATGTACTTAAAACCGAAATAAAGTGTAAATAGTTTTTTTTTTTGTATTTAAACATTTTAAACGTCACATTTATGTTAAAAATATGAGAGGAAAGAAAAAACTTTAAACAGGAATGCAATGGAAAATAGAAAAATTTTCATAAACTTTTCTAGTAGGAGCAACTTTTTGAGAAAAGATGTGTTCAAACTGTGAGCAACTTTTGTCTTAGCAAAATGTTCAGACTCAAAAAAAAAAGTTGTTCAAGCTCGAAGTCATTTTTCTAGTAAAAAGTTGCTCAGATTGTGAGCAACTTTTCTAATAAAAAGTTGTTTATACTAAGAAACATTTCTGCAAAAAGTTGTTCAGACTCTGAGCAACTTTTTTAGTAAAGAGTTGTTCAGACTCTGAGCACCTTTCCTAGTAAAAAGTTGTTCAGATTCTGAGCAACTTTTCTAATAAAAAGATGTTCAGACTCGGAGCAACTTTCCTAGTACAAAGTTGTTCAGACTCTGAACAACTATTCTAGTAAAAAGTTGTTCAGACTCTGAGAAACTTTACGATTAAAAAGTTGTTCAAACTCTGAGCAACTTTTCTAGTAAAAAGTTGTTCTGATTCTGAGCAACTTTCCTAGTAGAAAGTTGTCCAGACTCTAAGCAACTTTTCTAGTAAATAGTTGTTTAGACTCTAAGCAACTTTTCTAGTAAAAAGTTGTTCAGACTCTGAGGAACTTTTCCAGTAAAAACTTGTTCAGACTCTAAGCAACTTCTCTAGTAAAAAGTTGTTCACACTCTGAGCAACTTTTCTAGTAAAAAGTTGTTCAGACTCCAAGCAACTTTTCTAGTAAAAAGTTGTTCAGACTCCAAGCAACTTTTCTAGTAAAAAGTTATTCAGACTCCGAGCAACGTTTCTAGTAAAAAGTTGTTCAGACTCTGAGCAACTTTTCTAGTAAAAACTTGTTCAGACTCTGAGCAACTTTTATACTAAAAAGCTGTTCAGACTCTAAGCAACTTTTTTAGTAAAAATGTGTTCAGACTCTAAGAAACTTTTCTAGTAAAGAGTTGTTTAGACTCTGAGCAACTTTTCTAGTAAAAAGTTTTTCAGTTTCTGAGCAACGTTTCTAGTAAAAAGTTGTCCAGATTATAAGCAATTTTTCTAGTAAAAACTTGTTCAGACTCTGAGCAACTTTTCTACTAAAAAGTTGTTCAGACTCTAAGCAACTTTTTTAGTAAAAATGTGTTCAGACTCCAAGCAACTTTTCTAGTAAAAAGTTATTCAGACTCCGAACAACGTTTCTAGTAAAAAGTTGTTCAGACTCTGAGCAACTTTTCTAGTAAAAACTTGTTCAGACTCTGAGCAACTTTTCTACTAAAAAGTTGTTAAGACTCTAAGCAACTTTTTTAGTAAAAATGTGTTCAGACTCTAAGAAACTTTTCTAGTGAAAAGTTGCTTAGACTCTGAGCAACTTTTCTAGTAAAAAGTTTTTCAGTTTCTGAGCAACTTTTCTAGTAATAAGTTGTTCAGATTCTGAGCAACTTTTCTAATAAAAAGTTGCCCAGACTCTGAGCAACTTCTCTAGTAAAAAATTGTTCACACTCTGAGCAATATTACTAGTAAAAAGTTGTTCAAACTCTAAGCAACTTTTCTAGTAAAAAGTTGTTCAGACACTAAGCAACTTTTCTAGCAAAAAGTTGTTCACACTCCGAGCAACTTCTCTAGTAAAAAGTTGTTCACACTCTGAGCAACTTTTCTAGTAAAAAGTTGTTCACACTCTGAGCAACTTTTTTAGTAAACAGATGTTCAGTTTCTGAGCATAATTTTTAGTAAAGTTGTTCAGTTTTTGAACAACTTTTCTAGTAAAAATTTGTTCAGTTTCTGAGCATCTTTTTTAGTAAAAAGTTGTTCAGTTTCTGAGCAACTTTTCTAGAAAAAGTTGTTCAGTGTCTGAGCAACTTTTCTAGAAAAAGTTGTTCACACTCTGGGCAACTTTTCTAGTAAAAAGTTGTTCATACTCTGAGCAATTTTTCTAATAAAATGTTGTTCAGAATTTAAGCAACATTTCTAGTAAAATGATGTTCATGCACTGAGCAACTTTTCTAGCAAAAAGTTGTTCAAACTTTAAGCAACTTTTTTAGAAAAAAGTTACTCGGAATCTGATCTGTAGTTCTCCCTCATAAAAGGCTAATCTGAAAAACAAATTCAAAAACCTTCACTATTCGTTATATGAAACATTTCTTTTGGTTTCTTCCTCTAACCTACAACTCCCCCAACAAAACCGCCATTAACTATAAAATCCATCCTTACGAATTAAGTCTTAAAAAAGTTTTTTATTATAAAATTTGACAATAATTTCATATTTTTATATTTTTCTACTTTTAAACTCATTATGGTTTTCTTTACAATTGTTCTTACTTGTTTTTTTTTTTCCTTTTTCTTTACAGTCTCATCATTTGTCCACCCCACCACGACCAATTTTTGTCATCATTAGTTGTGTTTGTTGTTTATTGCAATCGTGCTCGGCATTTATTATTCTACTGCCCATTTGGTATAATCGTCAGTGTGCCATAACATTTTTAAAAATGCAATTTTGTGTCTCCACCTCGAGTATAATGGTGATATTTTTACTGGGATTTTTGAAAATGTTGCCTGTGGTAAGTTATATTAAAAAAAAAATATGTTTTTTTAGCATTATTTTATTATTTAACTTTGGAAAATTTTATATTTGTTTTCGTCTGTGATATTTTCTTTTTATTATTATTAATGTTGTTGTTATGAAATTTATTACAAAATATACAAATAATTTTATTTACTGGCAGTAACAAACAATACTTTAAAAATTACAGAAAAGGATTAAGCAAAAGACAATTATAATAAATTTATGGCTTTTATAAAGCAGACATTTAGAGAAAAGTTTTTTAAAATTATTAAATTACTAAAAGTTTCTTGGAAGAAGTAGTACACAATTATCCAATGTTAATGCAACTTTGAGCAACTTTTCTAGTAAAAAGTTGTTCACATTCTGATAAATTGTTCTAGTAAAAAGTTGTTCAAACTCTGAGCATTTTTTCTAGAAATAAATTGTTCAGACTCTGGGCAACTTTTCTAGTAGAAAGTACTTCAGATTCTGAGCAACTTTTTTAGTAAAAATGTGTTCAGACTCTAAGTAACTTTTCTAGTGAAAAGTTATTCACACTCTGAGCTACTTTTCTAGTAAAGAGTTGTTCAGACTCTGAGCAACTTTTCTAGTAAAAAGTTGTTCAGACTCTGAGCAACTTTTCTAGTAAAAAGTTGTTCAGACTCTGAGCAACTTTTCTAGTAAACGGTTGTACAAACTCTGAAAAACTCTTCTAGTAAAAAGTTGTTCAGAATCTGAGCATCTTTTCTAGTAAACAGTTTTGCAGATTCTAAGCAACTTTTCTAGTAAAAAGTTGTTAAGACACAGAGCAACTTTTCTGGTAAAAAGTGGTTCAGACTCTGAGCAACGTTTCTAGTAAAAAGTTGTCCAGTTTCTAAGCAACTTTTCTCTGATCAAGTTTTCAAGTAAAAAGTTGCTCAGACTTTGAACAACTTTTCTGGTAATAAGTTGTTCCGAATCGAAGCAACTTTTCAAGTAATAAGTTGTTCAGACTCTGAGCAACTTTTTTTGTAAAAAGTTGTTCATACTCTGAGCAACTTTTCTAGTAAAATATTGCTCAAGCTGTGAGCAACTTTTCTAGTAATAAGTTGTTCAGACTGTGAGCAACTTTTCTAGTGATAAGTTGTTCAGACTCTGGGCAACTTTTCTAGTAATAAGTTGTTCTGACACGGACCAACTTTTCTAGTAATAAGTTGTTTAGACTTTGAACAACTTTTTAAGTAAAACATAGTTCAGACTCTGTACAACATTTTAATTAAAACAGTGTTCTGACTCTGAGTAACTTTTCTTGTTCAGACTCTAAACAACTTTTCTAGTAAACAGTTGATCGGACTTTGAGCAACTTTTCATGTAAAATATTGTTTAGACTCTGAGTAGCTTTTCTAGTAAAACGATATTCACACTCTGAGCAACTTTTCTAGTAAAAACTTGTTCAGACTCTGAGCAACTTTTCCAGTAAAAAGTTTTTCAGACTCTGAGCAACTTTTCTAGTAAACAGTTGTTTAGACTCTGAGCAACTTTTCTAATAAAAAGTTGTTCAGACATGAGCAAGTTTTCCAGTAAACAGTTGTTCAGACTCTGAGCAACTTTTCTAGTAAAAATTTGTTCAGACTCTGAGCAACTTTTCTAGTAAAAAGTTGTTCAGACTCTGAGCAACTTTTCTAGTAAAAAGTTGTTCAGACTCTGAGCAACTTTTCTAGTAAAAAGTTGTTCAGACTCTGAGCAACTTTTCTAGTAAAAAGTTGTTCAGACTCTGAGCAACTTTTCTAGTAAAAAGTTGTTCAGACTCTGAGCAACTTTTCTAGTAAAAAGTTGTTCAGACTCTGAGCAACTTTTCTAGTAAAAAGTTGTTCAGACTCTGAGCAACTTTTCTAGTAAAAAGTTGTTCAGACTCTGAGCAACTTTTCTAGTAAAAAGTTGTTCAGACTCTGAGCAACTTTTCTAGTAAAAAGTTGTTCAGACTCTGAGCAACTTTTCTAGTAATAAGTTGTTCAGACACTAAGCAACTTTTCTAGTAAAAATTTGTTCAGACTCTGAGCAACTTTTTTAGTAAAAATTTGTTCAGACTCTGAGCAACTTTTCTAGTAAAAAGTTGTTCAGACTCTGAGCAACTTTTCTAGTAAAAAGTTGTTCAGACTCTGAGCAACTTTTCTAGTAAAAAGTTGTTCAGACTCTGAGCAACTTTTTTAGTAAAAAGTTGTTCAGATTTTTGAGCAACTTTTCTAATAAAAAGTTATTCAGACTTGAGCAAGTTTTCTAGTAAACATTTGTTTAGACTCTGAGCAACTTTTCTAGTTAAAAGTTGTTTAAACTCTGAGCAACTTTTCTAGTAAACAGTTGTTCAGACTTTGCCCAACTTTTCTAGTACAACGTTGTTCAAACTCTAAGCAATTTTTCCAGTAAAAAGTTATTTAAAATCTGTGCAGCTCCTCTAGTATAAAGTAGTTCAGACTATGAGCAACTTTTCTAGTAAAAGGTTGTTCTGACTGTGAGCAACTTTTCTAGTAAAAAGTTGTTCAGACTCTGAGCAACTTTTCTAATAAAAAGTTGTTAAGATTCTAAGCAATTTTTCTAGTTAAAATTTCATTAAATATGAAGTACCTTTTCTAGTAGAAATTAGACTCTTAAGCATCTTCTCTAATAAAAAGTTATTCTGATAATTTTTGTTAATAAAACGTTGTTCAAATTCAATGCAACTTTTCTGAGCAACTTTACTCTTAAACATTTATAACATTGTTACCCCAGTATGCTGGTTTTGTATATATGTATTTGTGACTAATCCTTACCCATGTTCCCTTGTGTTATATATGAATAATATATATTTGAATATCAGAACACATGTTTAAGTACTCTTAAGAAAGTTATTTATAATAAATATTGTTTGTATTTACTTAAGCGTAAATAATTTCATCATGTAGCAATAACTTGTGTGTTTTTTTTTTTTTTTTTTTTAAAACTTTTCATACTAACTCTTCTCAGTTGGCCTGTTACCATATGAAAAACCATATTACTTTACATTTACTTTAGCAAAAGTTTTTTTTTTTCTTATTTGCTCATATTCAAATACTTTTTTGATACACTTACATATTATTGAAGAAAAGTAAGAAAAATAACATTTAGAACAAAAAAAAATTGTTCCTTATTAAATGACAAGTACTTTTTCTTTTTTTCCAACTTTTTTTCCATTATACTATTCTATAGCGAGGAAAAAAGTATTTCAACAATTTTTTTGATTTTAATTCTTTTTTTTTTTTTTTGTTATTTACAGCCAGAAAAAAAATCTTTAGAAATTAAAAAGTTATTTACTTCCTTATTTGTTTAAATCATGTATCATTCTAAGAATTTCTAAAGAGCGAAAAAAAAGGATAAGTAAAAACTTTTTTATAACGTGAGTTTTTATGCCCTTCGTTACGGCTTAAAAAAAAAATTGTTTTCTAACCGCAGAAATAAATTAAATGAAAAAACACTTAATAACTTTTTTTTCATTTATTAAATAATGGTTAGAAGAAAGAAAAATGTAAAGAAAACTGTAGGGTTTTTAATTAATTAAATTTATTTGAGTTTTAAAAGTAAAGAAACCAAATAACATTAAGATTCAATAAAAACAAATAAAATAAAATGACTTTTAAAGGTCGTTTTTTTAATGTTTAAATAATAATTTTAAAGCTTAATTTTATATAATAAATAGTCTAATTTCTTAGCTTTTAAAAACAGTTTAAATTTAAGTTAAACTTTTAACTACTTTAAAGTTATAAAGTTTTTAATAAAATAACTACCTAATTAATAGTAACTCATACGCCTTCATAACAAAAATATGAAAATTTAAAATTTTTCTTATAAAACTTGAAAAATAATAAGAAATTTTTCAAAAAACTAATAATTCTTAACAGCTTACACCACTAACTTCATTCCTCTTTTTAAATTCTTTTGTTTTGAAAAGCATCTATCATTTTATTATGTATTTAGTTATTATCTCTTATCTTAATATACGTTTTTTTTTTTTAACTTTGCTATTATAGTCATTTCTGTAGCACTTAAATATTTTCTTTAGCTCATTAGTACTCATTATATTTTATGCTGAATTCTTCATTTTTCTATTCATGTTCACTTTCACTTTCATTTTTATTCATTTTTTTAAATCACTTTCTACTAGCTAGCCGTAGAAGGTTTTTCTTTTCTAAGTTTTTTTCTTAATTTTGACAAGTTATAAGCGCAATAAAATGAAATCTTTGTTAAATGTATTTTATGTTTCGAAAATAGACAAAGAATGATGATGGTTTTTGTGGGATTTTTAATTTTAATCACTTGCAAATGTAAACTAGAGATAAGTATTGTATAATAAATTGAAGTTTAAGATAGAATGAACGTTTATATAATGTAAGTTATTAATATTAACTTTTATGGCAAAAAGTTGCTTAAAGTCGGCATAAGTTTTTCTAGAAAGTTTGTTCAAAAACTGAACAGAAAAGATGCTCATAGTCTGGGCAAAATTTTTCTTGAAAATTTGTTCAATTCTGCAGAAAATTTTACTAGAAAAGTAGCTCGAGGTTCGAATAACTTTATATTAGAAAAGTTGCTCCTAGTCTGAACAACTTTTTACTAGAAAAGTTGCTCGGAGTTCGAACAACTTTATACTAGAAAAGTTGCTCATAGTCAGAACGGGTTTTTATTAGAAAAGTTGTCGAGTCTGAACAACGGTTTACTAGTTAAATTGCTCAGAGTCTGAACAACTTTTTACTATAAGAACTGATGAGAATCTAAACAACTTTTTATTTAAAAATTTCTCAGAGACTGGGCAACTTTTTACTAGAAAAGTTGTTCTCCGTCTGAACAACATTCTTCTAAAAAAGATTTTAAAAATTTGATCAATTATTTACTATAAAGTTGCTTAGATTCTAAGCAATTCTTTACTTGAAAAGTTGCTCTGAGTCTGAATAACATTTTACTAGTAAAGTTGCTCAGAATTTGAACAACCTTTTTCTAGAAAAGTTGCTAAGAGTCTGAACAACT